GCCTTGCGCGAAGACTTGACGAATTCCAACCACCGGAGCAGGCTGGGTTTCGGAGCGGATACGGCACCATAGACCACATCCACACAGTGCGGCAGATTATACAGAAGACTGAGGAGTATAATCAGCCCCTGTGCCTAGCATTTGTGGACTATGAGAAAGCCTTTGACTCGGTCGAAATCTGGGCTGTTCTGGAGTCCCTGCAGCGATGCCAAGTAGATTGGCGATACATCCAAGTGATGAGATGTCTCTACGAGGCCGCCACCATGTCCGTCCAAGTACAGGATCAGCAAACAAGGCCGATACCGTTGCATCGAGGTGTGAGACAAGGGGATGTTATCTCCCCGAAATTGTTCACAAATGCAATGGAGGATATGTTCAAGACGCTGAACTGGAAAGGACGCGGCATCAACATAAATGGCGAGTACATCTCTCACTTGCGATTTGCAGACGACATCGTCATCGTAGCAGAAACGCTGCAGGACCTACAACGGATGCTGAATGACCTGGCTGACTCTTCTGTACGCATCGGCCTACGGATGAACTTGGATAAAACCAAGGTCATGTTCAATGAACATGTACTACCGGAACCGATTGCAGTACACGGCGCTGTTCTCGAAGTCGTTCAAAAATATGTATACCTCGGGCAGACATTGCAGATGGGTAGAAACAACTTCGAGAACGAGGTGAATAGAAGAATTCAGCTAGGTTGGGCAGCATATGGAAAGCTGCGTCAAGTCTTCACGTCGTCGATCCCACAGTGCCTAAAGACGAAAGTCTTCAATCAGTGCGTCCTACCTGTCATGACATACGGAGCCGAAACGTGGACACTGACGGTGCGGCTGGTTCACAAGCTAAAAGTCACTCAGCGAGCTATGGAGAGGGCTATGCTCGGCGTTTCTCTGCGAGATCGAATCAGAAACGAGGTGATCCGGCAGAGAACCAAGGTAATCGACATAGCCCACCGGATTAGCAAGCTGAAATGGCAGTGGGCTGGCCATATTAGCCGAAGAACCGATGACCGTTGGAGTAGACGAGTTCTTGAGTGGAGACCGCGTCTCGGCAAACGTAATGTAGGACGTCCTCAGGCAAGGTGGAGTGATGATTTGCGCAAGATGGCTGGCAGGAGCTGGATGCGAGTGGCCGAAGATCGATCCCAGTGGCGTGCAATAGGAGAGGCCTATGTCCAGCAGTGGACTGAAAAGGGCTGATGATGATGATGATGATGATGGCATAAAAACTAATTATTTTTCCTCACATTTAATTAGAATATCTAGCCTACCAAGTTAAGCTAAGCCTACCAAGGTATTCAAATAATAATTATACGCGTTAATACCCGCGTAAATATATGTTGTTAGAATTTCTATTTAATTAAAATAATAAAATAAAACTGATTTCCATTTTATAATGCTGTACTTTCTGTTACTTGGTAAAATAAATACAAAATGGCATCATTAGTGTTGCCAACGGTAATGAAACCTAGGAACACTATTTCGTTGATAAATTCCAAACTTATGCATATTCAAAATCACGTCATAATCTTTACTGTGAACGTTTGGCAAGCTAAATTTAATACATTTTCATTTTTTTTCTCGTTAAGCACGAAGTTATTAATTGTGAACCAATTATAAACTTGACGAATGGAGCTGTTTACTTGGTCAAAATTATCAATAACCTATTTAAAAATTAATGACGTATCTCTGATATGATGATCTGCAAACTGGCGCTGTGTTTGGTTTAGTTTTAAATAAAAATGGCAAGTCATTAGCATACACTAAAAAGACAAACGGACCCAATATTGAACCCTGCGGAACACCCATTCTCATCTCAGAGCCCTGTGAGTTAGAACCGTTTACATGAACCTTTACTTGCCGTTCCTCTAATTATGATTTTAACAGGTGGATTGCAGTGAGTCTAACCCCCGTAATGATCTAACTTCAGCAAAAGTATTTCATGATCAACGCAATCGAACGCTTTTGAGAGGTCGCAAAAGATACCAACAGCATCCTATGCTTCCTCCCAAGCACCGAATATTCGTCATCATTACAAATAACTGCATGTGACCGAGGCTATGAGGCTCTGAATGCACCCCCCTCACAGCCTCGACCGGTACTGGGTATTTGGTGTCGACATATCGAGCGAAGTTCAGTTCCGCGGTTATCTAGAGAAGAAGCTAGGTCTGCTGAATAGATTGATCGATCGCACTTTACAAGGCGCAAGTTCTACTGTTGACTACCCTGTCATCTCAGATCGGATGTAGCCTCGCTATGTGTTCTCTGTCGTATGTATCACGGGGAGTGTTCTGAGGTATTGTTCGGTTTGATCCCCGCCGCATCTTTTCGCCATCGTTCTAACTCCATCACATAGATGGTTGGCAGTCAACAACTGTGCGATGCACTCGTAACTTTCTGCCCCGCACAGCAACACTTTGGAATGATCTTCCGGCGGCGGTATTCCCGAACCGATACGACCTTCAAACCTTCAAGAAACGAGCGTACTCCTTCTTAATATCTCAAGCCATACACACCTCTAAAGCACACTTTACCGTTGTGATGGAAGGCTTCGACGCAAAGGTGGGCATACGGAATGGCGATGAGTCCATCGAGGACAGCGCCTGGTAGACTTTATGGAGAGAGAGAGAGACTCTATCTGATGAACTCCTTCCAAAAGCGACCATCCAGGTGATGGACTTGGATAAGACCAAATCAAAAATGAGATCGAATTCACCATGGCGACCAACAAGCGCGTATATTTAATTTAGTGATGTTTCGGTGATTGCTAAAGTGAAAACTGGTAGCGATCGCCGAATAGTTAGGGGCATACTGAATATCAATGTCAAGCTGGAAAGGTCAGTCTGGTGAAGTCAACACTCCGTTTTTGCCGCGCTCTGATTCAGAACCCCGGAGCCTTTCAACGTCAATAATAATCCTCCAAGCATAATCCAGCCCAGTGCCTTACCGATTGCGAAACCGTAGAAGAAATAAATAATGGGTTGGTGGAAACAGTCCGAGCAGTGGAGTCGGGTCCAATCTATCTAAAGCTCTCGAACGGAACATTAGAGCTCCTGAAACCACGAAACGAAATGAGACTAGGTACAGTCTTCAGCCAATATGTCAGAGTACAGTAACCTCAATAGGTGAACTTCATAAGTCATGCGACGCGACCTGCCTGCGTCTAATACTGCAGAATCAAGGAAGCCATCGAGCGAAACCAGGGCTCAAACATTTTCGCAAAAAATTCGTCCAAAGCCAAATAACGTAACGAGGCTTAAGACCGAGACTGGTAGGGTAGCATCATTTTGTCGAAATTGGAGATTCTGAGAGAGCTCGAGAGGTTCTACGGACAGTTGTAGACCTCAACACACTGAGGATATCCCAGACATCAGCCTGTACGAGATTAGGATGGCTCTCAAGTAGCTTCAAAACAACAAGGCACCGGGCGATGACGGAATCACAATAGAACTTCTGAGAGCGGGTGGGAAACCGATACTTTTAGTCCTCCAAAAGTTATTAAGTTCCGTCATACTCGAAGCAACTACACCCGAATCATGGCAAAGGAGTGTGGTACTTCTGTTCTTCAAAAAGGGAGATAGCACTTTGTTGAACAACTACAGACCTATCTCACTTCTGAGTCATGTGTACAAGTTGTTCTCGAGAGCCATCACGAACCGTCTCGAGCGCAGGCTCGGTGACTTCTAGCCTTCCGAACAAGCCGGGTTCAGAGGAGTATAATCAGCCATTATGTCTAGCGTTTGTGGACTATGAGAAAGCCTTCGATTCAATCGAAACCTGGGCAGAGTTTCAGTTTCTCCAGCGATGCCATGTCGACTGTAGATACGTCGACGTGATTAGGTGTCGCATAGAAACGCCACCATGCTATGTATGCATGCGAAGACAGTACAAAACCAATCCAATTGCAGGCAGGGTGACGTAATTTCTCCAAAACTGTTCACGAACGCATTGGAGGACGTTTTCAAGCTCTTGAACTGGAGTGGCTTTGGCATCAATATTAATGGCGAATACATAACTCACCTGCGCTTCGCCGATGATATAGTCGTTTTGGCAGAGTTGTTGGAGGACCTGAACACCATGCTCATCGACCTTGATGTAGTTTCCCAACAGGTGGGTCTGAAAATGAACATGGACAAGACGAAAATCATGTCTAATGTCCATGTTGCACCTGTACCGGTCATTGTTGGGAACGACATCCTTGAAGTTGTTGACCATTACACATACCTTGGTCAGATCATTCGGCTAGGCGTGTCCAACTTCGGATGGGCAGCTTTCGGGAAGTTACACGGTGTCTTCTCATCGGAAATCCCACAGTGCCTGAAGACCAGGATGTTTAACCAGTGTGTGTTGCCGGTGATGACGTATGGTACTGAGACGTGGTCGCAAACTTCTGGCGTTTTTGAAAAACCACGAGTCGCTCTGCGCGCGATGGAGCGGGCTTTGCTCGAATTTCTCCAAAGAACCAAAGTTACCGACATAGCTCGTAGAATCTGCAGGCTAAAGTGGCAATACGAACGGCCGATGGGCCCGAAAAGTACTAGAATGGCGACCAAGGACCGGAAAACGTAGCGTGGGCAGGATGAAGGTGAAATTATACGAAACGTTTTTTGGGAAGTGAATATTTGTCATATTCCTTCCGGTTAAACTAGGGAGACTTGGTTCCTTTGTGTCACAACTTTTGAACAGTGGAATAACTTTACTGCATTCCATTAGGTTTGGGAAGACACCGTCATCTATACTTTATTGAAAATCAAAGTCTTGTATTTAAGTCATTTTCAGACGCTCAAATTTAAGTAGCTAAAAATTCGCTATTGTAGTATGGCTTGCAATAAATTGATTTTTAGGTACATTGGCTGTGATATCCACGTCATCAATAATAGGAAAAATCGTTCCATTCACCGATTACGCCTTCAGATCATATAGGCCACTATACAGTGATACATTGAGTTTGGAATGGTTTGCAATTTTGTTGAGCTGTGTGTGTGCTTGCAGGTAAAGGAGTCGGCAAGAAGAGTAAAAGTAGCAATGCGAGCGCGGAGCCGGGGCCCTCCACTAGTCGCGTCAGGCTTTCCGGTAGGTAGCGCGCTCGGTACTGGGTGGGTGGTGGCCAGGGCGCGGTGCTCATTTGTATTTGTTTGTGCAGACGAGGAGCTCGAGGAAGAGGAAGAGGAAGAGGAGGAGGAGGAAGATGAAGGCGGCGCCAGCTCGTGGTCAGGGTCGCATAGTTCAGGGTCATCGCGGCGTTCGAGACGGAGACGCGCGCGCAAGCGGCCCCGGTCGGGGTCGTCGTCGGAGTCGGCGCCGCTGACGGCGCTGCGCGCGCGACGGACGCGGACGGGCGCGGGGTCGGCGCGCTACAACGAGGACAGCTCGGACGACGCGGCCGCCGCCATCCCCAAGCGCGGGCAGCACGCGCGCGCCGCGCCGCGCGCCCAGCGCCAGCTCGCCTCGCGCCGCCGCCGCCACGCCGCGCGCGCCGACCCCGTCGCCTACTACAACGGGCACAACGAGGCCGGCTCGGGCTCCAGCGGCTCGCAGGGCTCGGGCCCCGGCGTGGCGGGCGGCTCCGGGGGCTCGGCCGTCCCGGGGGGCCTGTCCATATCCTCGCGCGGCCGGGTGCGCAAGCTGACGGCCAAGGCACGGGGCCTGCTGCACGACTGAGCCCGGCGCCGCGCCCGGGGTACCGAGCACCCGCGGGTGGCGACACGCGACTGACTTGTGATATTACTGTGAATAACGAATGTACAGACAGACGGCCGAATGTTTTAGTGTTGCCACTCAGTAATGTTGTGACGCGGTGTTGCCAGCCGAAACGTTCGTGTACTTAAAGTGCGCTGGCAACACTCGCGCATGTCGACTCATGTATCATGTAATTATGTAAGACGCACAAGGTGTTTGTTTGTTTATTGCTGGCAACACCACCGTCCCGGACACTGTACTGTACAGTGTTGCCATCGTTGCGTGTGTCTGCGGTGGTGTTGCCAGCATGAATGTATTAGTTAATTATACAATAGCAGTAAGTATGAACATTTTGTATGGAACAGCGAATTAATGTAATGTCGTTTTGTATCTGTGTGTGTGTGTGTATGTACATTGTATATAGTGTGCGTGGGATGGGTGTTGATACCAAACTGAAACAGAATAAAAAGATAATTTTCTAAGATACGTGTGTGTGCGTGTGTTTTATTTGTCGTCGCCGAAACCTTCCGCCTGGCTCCGAGCGCTCGGTCCAGCTCCTGGTCCTGCTCCTCCACTGGACGCTTCCTGCACTCGCTGGTAGTAGTTACAGCCCGTGGAGCGACTCCCAAAGTGTAGCGATTTTTTCTAAAAATATTGATTCCAATCGCGACTGAATCGATTCACAACAGAATCGAGTTCTTATATATATAATTATAAACCGATTTTATAAAAAACTAGCTATTGCCCGCGGCTTCGCTCCCTCTTAACTTATAGGTACTAGAACAGAAGACATGTAATGTCGATTATAAAGGACGAGGAATCGATACATATCGATTTAAGAATCGATTTCTAGATTAATCGATCTACTTGAGTCGAGCAGCGAGTGGGGCGGAAATGAGACACGCGCATATCTCCCAAGAGGGCGTATATTTATTGATGATAGATATAAAGAGGAGCACAGAATGGCCGCGACACTCGCAATCGTTGTTCTAGTCGCGTACTGCGCCGTCCCCCAGTCCCTCGGGCTATCGGCCGCAGCCTCCGCCGCCGCACTTGGACTTCTTGGGGGGGCGGTACGTGGACGTGGACGCTCCTCCGCTCAGTGGCAAGTAGTCTGCAAGCAAACATTATAACAACAAAACTTTTATGTACAACTCGCAACCAGATATAGTGAATTTTATGTAAAATTATAATCAAAGTCTCTCTCATCTTGATATCCTATGTAAGGAAAATGATTGCAAAAACTAATTATCAATCGATCACATGTCCACAGTTGTAACCTAACCTAACTCATCCGAGTAGCGCCCCAACAGTATTTATACACACACTAATGTAATTAGCAATGTTTTTTTTAATTTGAGATTTTATATCCCAATTAATACGCCAACCTCATCTACTTTCACTTAAAAGTACTTAAATTACTTTCCCCTCCCCCAATCCCTAAATCTCCAAATCCCTAATCCCCAAAAGGTCAGCAACGCACTCGTAGCTCTTCTGTTGTTGCGTGTGTCCATCGGCGCTGATTGCTTACCATCAGGTAATCCGTCTGCTCGTTTGCCGAGCCATCAAAAGGAGTCTTAGTCGGCTTTGGTTTGTGTGAGACCAATCTCTGATATATTCAAATTAAACTCATCGATTCTCCTTTCTACTTGGTCCTTGACACATCCACCAGCATATGTAGTGCATCCTCAAGTATATTCGGAGAACTTAGTTTCTTCATGAGCAATGCAACGTTTGCTGATGGACAGTGGCCGGAGCGTAATCTTACAGCCGACCTAACGTCACTTCTACTTAACCTGATACCGGCACAAGCAATGTACGAGTAATCAATAAGCTCACACATTATATTTAATGTAAAACCTCACGCATTAATTAGCTACTTTTGGTGTTCGAATACATTGTAAAGTGCAAGAATTAAGTATCATCATCAGTCTGATTTCGTCCACTGCTGGACATAGGCCTCCCTAATTGCACGCCACTGAGCTCTTCTCGTCCAACCACTGCCAGCCACCTCACTGGTATCATCAGTCCACCTAGCTGGAGGGCGCCCTACACTACGTTTGCCTAGACGTGGTCTCCGCTCTAGAACACGTCTACCGAATGCCCCTTGAGTTTGCTAATCCTTCGAGCTATGTCGACAACTGTAGCTGTCTGTGGGATCCCCTCGCATGTTAAGGTGGTCACTATATGAGTGATGTAGTACGCCGCGTACCGCTCTCGTCCTGCCTCTCCCCGAGCCGGTGTCCGCCGGCGGCGGCGCCATACTTCTCCAGCCGCTCCGCCAGCTCCGCGCGCTTACGTTCCTCTCTCTGTAGACAGACAGACAGACAGACGCTGTAGCTATATATATGTATGTATGTATAAACACATCGTTACAAATATGCATTTGTTTTTATATATAAATAACGCATTTCAGTATTTCGCATCAAACCAAACAGAACTCTTACACGTCAACATAATTTATAAAACAATACTAGATGAAGCCGGCATTCCTTACAAAACCCAGACAATAAACTTAATGTGTGAGCACCATGCAAGTTCACAAGGATAGGGTCTTTGATTACCTCATTGACACTGCGAAAATCAATGAAGTGTGGCTCTCCCACTCTTAAAAGTGTCTTCTGTAAAACTTTCATCTATGTATGTGATGGGGGACGAGTGTTGTGGACTGTCAACCATCGATGACGCGAATTATGTTAGCAAGGCAAGTGGTACTGCTCTAAATGGTAACATGGTATCGAACCTCTTTCTGCAGCTCTAGCGCCCTCTGTGAGTCAGCCAACAACTTCTGTTGCTGGGCCTCGCGCGCGCGCTGCACTGCCTCCATGCGGGCCAGCACCACGCCCGGGTCTGCAATTAATAGTACAACAATAAGCAATAAGAACGAGGAAGGCAAAGTATTAATTTCAAGGACAGTTTAATCTAGCCATTTAAATAAAAATGATTCGCGAAATGTGTTGCTAAGCGCATTACTCCATAACGCCTGGACTAAATTAATATTTTATTTATTTACTAGCTACTCTCACGCGGTTTCACCCGCTGCTCGGCTCCATTTAATAGCAGCGTGATCTTTATACCCTATAGCACTCAGGAACTTTGTAGCTATCTAGCAGTGAAAGAATTTTGGCAATCCGACCAGCGGTTCCAAAGATTACCCCCTACATACAAACTTATAATTTTTACCTCTTTATAATATTATAGTATAGAAAGTCGCCTAGACATAAGGCACAGAACCTACTATCTCTACTACTGATTATGTTTCAGTACTTTTTTCTTGGATATGTCGGTAATCAGGCGGACCTATGTAGTCTGCCAGTATGCCTAGTGTACTGTTAGAACTGCATGTCAATCGCCGCATCATGCAGTTAGTTGTAACTAAATGCACTCACTCTTATGGTACTCTGCATCCTCACGTTGCTGGCGCCACCTGTCGAGCGTCGGCCGTAACTTGTGGTAGATGTAGATGACTGCTGCGATGCCCCCCAGGACAAACCATCCGTGTGCAGCCAGGAACTCCAACACTGGAACGAAGAAGATTAGTTGTTTGAGATCCATGTGAACAGTACATGTTGTGGTGGCCAGCAGCTTGTTTATTTATTTATTTATTTATGACATAACAATATAACAGGGCACACCAACAGCCAACAGCCACATAATAAAATACCAATATACTATATTACATTATCATTGCTCCAATCACATATTAGATACATTCATTTTTAACTATTCATTTGATACAATCAGTTGAGGTGCCCTCTACTCTTGTAAGTACCAATGTGACTTTTCACCGTTATATGTACTTTCTTAGTTTATTTTGACATCACTGACATATGGTGAAAGAAAAACATCGACAGGAAACCTGGACTTGTATTTTCTTATTATGCATTTGAAATTGCTAATAATTATTTTTTCATTATTATGCAGAAAAATTAAATCATTAATTACTTTTTTGGTAAAAAAGTGATTATTTATTATCATTGTATTACTTAAAGTTAAAAGTGAAAATATTTTCTTTTTTTATGAAATCTAATACCCAATCATAGGTCTTAAATAGAAGGCCCACACAGTGGCACAGGCCACAGGCCAACTTATTCTTACCAGTCTTTGTAAAGGACCTGCCTATTTAGTACGAAGTCACTTTAAAATGACGAAACAAACTCAGAGGTAAGCTTCTTTTAAAATCCAGACAATGTAATAAACGTAATGTGTGAGAGCCAAATCAAATCAAATCAAAATCATTTATTCCAAATAAACCTTAAATAGGTACTTTTGAAACGTCAAAATAGAATAGTAGTCTGTCAGTCTGTTCGTCAGTGAAGCTAGGTGCTCGTTCCAAATTGTAGTTTCGAATGGAGAAGAACGAGCAAGAAACTCCATCGTTACTCTTTTAAAAAAATATTTGTTTTACAATTCATCAATAATACATTTTTTATACATTACTGTACCCCTATGTGAGAACAATGCAGAGACAAGTTGTTAATAAAAAGGAACAAATGATGGTCTATCTAATCTATCATTAAAATTTTAATCCTTTGTTGTCTCGTACATGGCGCTCGCATATGCGTACTCACAATCTAAAAGAATGCTTCTATATAAACTCATTCAAGGTTTCATTAATTTTGAGAATTTTAATAACTACTGACTACATATTTGAGAATTGTCCAGTGGAGCCGAACCAACATGCTGCCAGGCATTCTTATCCTCAATATAATCTGAAAGTTTGTAGTATGCCTGTCTACATAATTCGCGTTTAATATAAGTTTTAAATTTTCGTTCATTAAGATTTAATACACTTCTTGGAATTTTATTGTAACAATTTACACAGAACCCCATAAAGGATTTCTGTACTTTGGACAGACGGAATCGTGGCACAGCCAGCCTATCTTTGCCTCTAGTATTAAAATTGTGTTTTCAAATAATTGCAATTTTTTTCTTACGTACATATTATTTTCATATATAAACTGACAAGGTACCGGTAGGATATTTATCGTTTTAAATAGTTCTCTCAGAGATTCACGAGGGGACAAGTTATATATCGCTCGGATAGCCCGCTTTTGCAAAATAAATATTGAATCTACTTCCGCAGCTCGACCCCATAGCAAAATTCCGTACGACATAATGCTGTGAAAATAGCTAAAATAAACAAGCCTTGCTGTGTTCACGTCTGTGAGCTGTCTAATCTGTCTAACTGCAAAAACAGCTGAGCTCAGTCTTCCCGAAAGCGTCTTTATGTGGGAACCCCATTGAAGTTTATTGTCTAGCGTAATACCTAGGAACATAGTCTCGTTAACAAATTCTAACTTTTGCCCATTTAAAATTATGTCACAATCATTATTGTGTACGTTGGGCAAGCTAAATTTAATACATTTTGTTTTTTTCTCGTTAAGTGCTAAATTATTGACTGTAAACCAATTATGAACTCGATGAATGGAGCTGTTTACTTCGTCCAAATTATTAACACGTCGACCTATTCTAAAAATTAATGATGTATCATCTGCAAACAGCACCATTCTTGGCTCGGTTTTAAATAGAAATGGCAAGTCATTAACATACACTAAGAAGAGAAACGGACCCAAAATTGAACCTTGCGGTACGCCAATTTTTATCTCAGAGCCCCGTGAGTTAGAACCACCTACATGAACTCTCAGCTGCCTGTCCTCTAAATATGATTTTAGTAGACGGAGTGCAGTATGTCTAATCCCGTAATGATCTAATTTCAGCAAGAGTGTTTCATGATCAACGCAATCGAACGCCTTTGAGAGGTCGCAAAAGACACCAACAGCATCCTGTGCTTCCTCCCAAGCACTGAATACCTCCTTTATCAAAGTGACACCGGCGTCAGTTGTACAACGACCTTTAGTGAAACCGTATTGTTGGTGATGGAAGATGGCATGTTCATCAAAGTGATGAAGCATCCGAGATAGCATTAACTTTTCAAACACTTTGCTAAGAACCGGCAGAACAGACACAGGCCTATAGTTGTTTGCCATACCTACAAGTTCATTCCGTAGTGGTCTTTTGAGGAAAGAACTACACCAGTTTATGTGGACCCGTTCTGACACAAACAGGAACAACTATCTTAGAGCCCTAATTATTCAATAATATTCAATAGCATTCACAAAAGCAGCAAAGACAATATAAAAACAATGTGCATCCTCAGTTACAGGAGGCCACATCATGCGAAAATATGCTTATTTAAAATTATAATATTGAAACATAGTCAGACATACAATATCAATATCAGGTATAACGAACCATAAAACTTAATCAGACATAAGCAACATTAATTAGGTATTCGATATTAACCAACATTTCACAGTAAAATAAAAAACAAAAGTAAGGAACATTAATAACAGAATAATATTTATGCAATTACAAATTACATTCGAGATCAAACATAATTTAAAATTAATCACCGAACACAACAAACTGCTCAATACAACTAGTACAGATTATAAATTAGAATAGCAACTTAATTCTAATTGAAATGAAATAGGTAGATACATGTAAATTCCAATATAAATATTGATGATCAATTTATGCGTTAACATTCATCATTTGGATTCCAAGTTAAGAGCGATAATATCTCTAAACCTTCCAAAAGCGTTAATTCAATTAATCAGTCAATAAAAACATTTATTCCAACTGAACCTTTGAACTGTAAGTGAAGCTAGGCGCTCGTTACGAAGTGTACCTAGATTCGAATGGAGAAGAACGAGCAATGAGTTGTGGTTAGCCAGTCTGAGGAGAGTGCAGAGCTCGCACGGTGGCCGGTGGTCCAGTCGAGTATAGAGAGAGCCACCGGCAAGAAGCGAGTCGGCGCGCGCTACACGAGCACAGCTCGGACGACGCGGCCGCCGCCATCCCCAAGCGCGGGCAGCACGCGCGCGCCGCGCCGCGCGCCCAGCGCCAGCTCGCCTCGCGCCGCCGCCGCCACGCCGCGCGCGCCGACCCCGTCGCCTACTACAACGGGCACAACGAGGCCGGCTCGGGCTCCAGCGGCTCGCAGGGCTCGGGCCCCGGCGTGGCGGGCGGCTCCGGGGGCTCGGCCGTCCCGGGGGGCCTGTCCATATCCTCGCGCGGCCGGGTGCGCAAGCTGACGGCCAAGGCACGGGGCCTGCTGCACGACTGAGCCCGGCGCCGCGCCCGGGGTACCGAGCACCCGCGGGTGGCGACACGCGACTGACTTGTGATATTACTGTGAATAACGAATGTACAGACAGACGGCCGAATGTTTTAGTGTTGCCACTCAGTAATGTTGTGACGCGGTGTTGCCAGCCGAAACGTTCGTGTACTTAAAGTGCGCTGGCAACACTCGCGCATGTCGACTCATGTATCATGTAATTATGTAAGACGCACAAGGTGTTTGTTTGTTTATTGCTGGCAACACCACCGTCCCGGACACTGTACTGTACAGTGTTGCCATCGTTGCGTGTGTCTGCGGTGGTGTTGCCAGCATGAATGTATTAGTTAATTATACAATAGCAGTAAGTATGAACATTTTGTATGGAACAGCGAATTAATGTAATGTCGTTTTGTATCTGTGTGTGTGTGTGTATGTACATTGTATATAGTGTGCGTGGGATGGGTGTTGATACCAAACTGAAACAGAATAAAAAGATAATTTTCTAAGATACGTGTGTGTGCGTGTGTTTTATTTGTCGTCGCCGAAACCTTCCGCCTGGCTCCGAGCGCTCGGTCCAGCTCCTGGTCCTGCTCCTCCACTGGACGCTTCCTGCACTCTGCTGGTAGTAGTTATGGCCCGTGGAGCTACTCCCAAAGTGTAGCGATTTTTTCTAAAAATATTGATTCCAATCGCGACTAAATCGATTCACAACAGAATCGAGTTC